CAGCGAAACACGAACTTTGCTGCAGAGAAGGTGCTGGAAGTTTGGCTGCGCGAGCGGAGTATGGAGACGGTATTCGGGAATCGCTGCGCTCCCGTGCACTTTCGAGAAGGGAGAATGGCATGGTATTGCAGCCGCTGAAGCGCTCTTCCCATCCGACGGCAAGGAACAGGATCCACGGAGGTGAATGAACAATTTTTCTTTAAGCGCATGATTGATTATTAACTCTCGCTTGATATCTAACCTCGTTCCTGTAATCTCGGTGCAAGAGCCCTCGAGATATCTTCAACGCTGGACGAGTAACTCTGAGACGAGACAAAAGATCCTAAAAGAATTCAGCTCTATGAAAGTTTTCATTTAGCTCAAGCATTACCGTACCATTTGAGGAGCATGAAATAGTGTCTTCACGGGTGCCTGTATCCCCGGCCCTACAACGATTGTGTAAGCAGTTGAGGAGGATGAACAGCTGAGTGATCGACAAAATCGTAAACGCTACAAGAGCTGCAACAACATGTGAACGCATTAGGCAGAACTGGTCGACAGGCATTGAAGAAAATTCTGAAAAAAATCAACTATTTATTTAGTAATGACGGGAACATTGTGCTAAACTCTCATGAAGCAACTCTGAGTCAGTAAAGTGATGTGAGTTCCACTGGTCCGCACACTATGTCAAAGTATATTTCTTATAGAAAGTCATTAAGGAGCGTCAGACTCTAACAAGTGCTTCTTATGCACTCGCACTTCCTCGACACAAGGCACTTTTGCTGTTTTGCACATACAGCTCACTGAAAAAGAGTGTACACCGACACGTGGAGAGATTCGCCCAATTTGCAAAGAATTGTTGCAAAATACAAATTTCCATAACTTTTTTAAATTTCGTTTTCCAGCTTTTTTCAACTTTCTGCGAAATTTCTTTTGTTCTTTCTTTTTCCAAAATTCCTGAGTTTTTGGACTTGTAGGCACGCCCACCATTGAGAGCTCAGCCCAATTCGCATAGGCCCCGCCCACTCTTGCAAATTAGCAGATTCGAGCCTCACTTTGTAAGTCGCAGTCTCGCTCGTATTTTGGAACGAACCTTTGCCTGCTTTTTTGTTTTGGGGCGAGTAGCGAGACTACTACTATTTTAGGCTCAGTCTGCCAGAAGCAGTTTTCAGATGTGAGCGAGGTTTGAACGGAGCGTGTGGAGCTACTGATTTGGCAGGGCTACTACTAGTGGCTAAGAATCGTGAAGTGTTCGGGAAAAAACCAAAATTCCGCAAAGACGCAGAAATGAGCGTGGCTAAGAGGGCGGATCTTGACATCTTAGCGCATAATGGAACAGCAGCTGATCAACCGCCATCATAACGTAAGGGTATAAAGTGAACTTTGGACATTGCGGCAATCGTTGGACACGGCGGTAGTTCCTTCACGGGCGGGCTGCGCTTTTCTCCTAATTTTAAGCGGCAAAACTAGTAAATTCTCCATACTCATAGGAAGGGCTACCATGTCCAATGAAAGCGTGGGAATATCAGATAACACGGGTTCCGCCTTCAAGATAAATTAGGATTTTACG